ACAAGTATAGGAGTGAAACAGAATGAGTAATGGTGGAAAGGAATATGAAGGTTAAAGAGACTGAATACATCAGCGTAAGCCATTGACAACGATTTTGAGCCATGTCACCTATTATTTCAAGCCATTGATTCTTAGAGTCCCGAGGGCGGGCCCCAACCCGGAAGTCTGCATCTCCCTCCTTACCTGACTCAGTTTAACTGTCAAGGATTTCATGGATTGATGAGGCCATGTTTTTGTTTGGCCACCACTTACTCTTTTCCAACCTGCACCTACATCATCATCTAGAAATGCCCGTCGGGGGAGGCGATGGCTAGGCATGCGCAGCACGTGACCTAGCCATCTCAGTCTATGTAATTTTATAGCCTCTTCGATTGATTTTCCCTCTTTGCCCAACACTACGCCTGACGTCAACATTACTCACCTTATTATACCACCTAACGTGAGAAAGAGATCGTAGACATCTATGATCAAAAACAGTCAACCTTTTCACATCTTCAACTCGTATTGGCCATGTTTCAGAGCCATAGAGAAGGACGGAGCGAACTGTTGAGCAGTACACACGTCCCTTGGTTGATAGCCGGATGTCACTCCTACGCCAGAGACGGTGTAAGTTAGCGAAAGCAGCCCGAGCTTTTTGGATCCGTGCTTAGATTTCGTCACCAATCAATCCGTTGGTGCTGATACAACTTCCCAAATAGGTGAAGTGGTCCCCGACCGAAAGCTGCTACCTTGACGTGGTGGTCGGGCTTGAACACCGCAATGACCCAACAAGCTATACTGGCTGGAACTTATGTTCCTGCAGGTCCTACCATGCCAGAAAGGTTGTTTGGACAGCGGTTAGACTAAAAACAGTTACCAATCCAATCCTATGACTCCAAATAAATAACAAAATATCATGCCGGATCGGTCGGGGCCCGGATTAACAACGACCGCGCTTTCTGCTGCCATGTCACAGGGCAGAAGTGATAAATTTATTCCATAGGGGACTACTTTACGAAATAGTTCAGCGAACAAACCCTTCTCGGTTATTTCATTTTCTTTGGGTGTACATTCACATTAATGCACAATTTTCATCACAAAAGATGTGAACTGTCATAAGCACAGTTGCTAATATTAATCCAGACATAAGAGAAGTTGAATAAGGTTGGTAGAATTATTTAATCGAAGTGCACAAAGGATATGTGGTATTGTGGTGAGACCTGGCTGCTAGCCAAAGTTAGTAGACAGTAATTGACGTCAATGTTTATCTCCCCAATATTGGTGGTGAGAAAATGATGAGAACAAAGGCTTTGCGTAGGCGGATACAATTAGCATATAGATGATCTGACATAGCCACAAAGAGATGCAAGGTTAACTTTCAGAGAGAAACAATCAATCAGAAGACTTTTTCTGCTAACAATAATCTATAATAATGTACATGAAAAGCTATAAATATGTGTTGATTTTCCTTAATAAACGATCTGTTGCCTGGCCCTTGTCTTCTGTTGTTACAGTATTACGTAAGAATCTATAAAAAGTTAGGACAGTCTACTGAGAACATCAGGTTCATTACCATGACAATAGAATTCGTTGGAGAATCCCCTTTGTGTATGCAGAGTTCCAGTTTCTCTATCTGGATAGTTGAAGTTCCATTTTCTCTTCAGTAAGTCACTCTTTATTTTGAAGGACGACTTTGTTTGTTGAGGTTGGATGACCCCATGTCGTCTATGCGCTCAGCTATCGCACTCTTTATGGAGCTGCTGAAACCATGTGGGAATACCTTAAGACAAAGTGGTGAGACGAAAGATCTTGTCTTTAAAGCCTCTGTAGACCAATGGACATCCATCGGGAGAGAGCTACTCTTAAATTTGATGCAATGAATCTTCTTCTCTAAAACGTTAAAATTCTCCACTTAAATAAGTCACAGTGCGTCGGCGGTATAGCGGTTAGGACGCTCGCCGACCACGCACATGGTCCGGGGTTCGATACCCGGCCGACGCACTCCTTTACCTCGATAAGCCAGAAATAATACTGGTCAGGAGGAAAGGTTGGGCATGAGGCTAACAACCCCATCCAGTAAAATAAACACTGCTACAGAAACTTCAAGCCACTAGCTTGAAGCCCTATGTTCCACTGAGGAACGTGAAGGAAAAAAAAATAAGTCACAGCTTAGATCACACCCTTGAAATCGAAGTTCATGAACAGCTTTTATTTTTAGGCACAAATGATATCTTATATCACTTTTTTTTCGGTTTGACTTCCTTGTCAATAAATCTTGGTGAATGTTGTCTGTTTCGAGGAAAGATTTCTCTCTGAAAGTCTGACTCTTCTTCTTAGAGTGTCAGGACTACAAAATACCTTATTCATTCAATAATTATCTCATCACACACAATCCTGTCACCCTTATTCAGCTTGTCTTATGCATTGACTAATATTAGAAACTAAGTGTTTATGGCAGTTGACATTTTTGTGGAAAACTGTATATAAATAAATTGCGATTGTATACCTGAAGCGAAATGCAATCACCGTAAATTATCTCTTCACTGAACTACTCGTTTTTTGTTGTTAAATGCCTGAATGGGGATTATTTATGAACTAACTTATTAATCAATCCACGGCATCTTAGTGATAAATTTCAACGTCAATTTACCGAAATCTGAATGATCAATCTAGACTGAATAGACAAACGTTCGCCAGTTCAGGTGTTAGGATTATTATGCATTTATCAAAATTTATATAAGCTGAGCTAGAGCATTCATTACACAGTTGGTATCTGAACTTATCGTGCTCTCCTCAATATCTGATAATTTTCGACTTCACTTTTTTATGAGATTGTATTGTTTTGTATTATTGAATAATAATCTCCTAAGGCGGAGTGAAACAACTATCTGTTAATTTCTGACTTTGAAAGATTTTTCTATCGATCCCAGTTCATAGAGAAACTGAAAATACTCTTGATTCTTTGATTGGACACTAGTAACTAGTGTTATGCGTCTAGTCGTTTCTTTGGTGCAGACTGAATTTTTTCAGTCAGGTTTGCAATGTGGCCACCATTCTGGGTAGCTCGCCATCACGGTGCACATTGATTTGATGATATCAGATGGTTGGAGGCAATCGGCAGGAAGCTTTGGACCTAGGTTTCGTGCTAGTTGGCACTCATCAGTCAGCAAGGTGTATCTGCAACTTTGAAGGAACTCATGTCCCTTCTGAGATTCAAATCCGCGTCACCCTCTTGATTCTTACTTGTGAACATTAGCAATCCCTGTAAACACACAAGGCGCCGTTGGCACATGGATATTGTCAACAGTGGAAAATTATCTTTGACATTTTGCTGATTAGGATAAATTGACTGAGGTGAAATGCAAAGATACGGTGAAGAATGTTTTCCGAATCGCTTTCGATAATCTGTTTCGAAGAATTTCAGTCGCTGTGTCACTTTTGAATTTCAAGTTTACCACTAACGTTTTCTGTAGTACTTCTGTCTTTTACTTTCCGTAAGTGACAGCCTCTCCAGCCATATATTAGATTAGAAATAAGAAGTGAAGTGGTAGAGCACGTTGACTGCTTCACTTACTCGGGAAGTACCATCAGCCAGTGCCAGCGGGTCGATCTCTGACGAAATCTCAGCACGGATACAGAGGGCTAGTTTCGCATATGCCAGTTTACGCCGTCTCTGGCGTAGACGTGATATCCGACTATCGACCAAAGGGCGTGTGTACTGCTCATCCGTTCGCTCCGTCCTCCTTTATGGTTGTGAGACATGAAAAGGTTAGCTGTCTTTGCTCATAGGTGTCTGCGTTCTATCTCCCATGTGAAGTGGTATCATAAGCTGAGCAATATTGAGGTTAGGCTTTGGTCGAGTGCTAGGTAAGGAGGGGAAATCAGTCGACGAGGCTGTGAAATTACATCGACTGAGATGGTTAGGACATGTGTTACTTATGCCTAGTCATCGCCTTCCTCGACTAACGGGCAATGTTAGCTGATATAGGGTCAGGTTGGAAAAGAGCTAGCGGTGGTCAAACCAAACCATGGCACTAGTCAATGAAATCTACAACAGTTAGTCTAAGCCAGCCACGTAGGAAGGTGTAGACTTCCTGACTGGTTGGGGTCCTCGGGACAGTAAAAACCAATGGTTGGAAACAATTGGTGACATGGCTCAAAATCGTTCTCAGTGGCTGGCGCAGATGCATTCACTCCTTGTGACTTATGATTTCCAATGAAACTGTTTTGTTCTTCGTTATTACTATTCCTTTGTCTCACAAATCTGTTTACTGTCTATAGTATGCATTTCTCCTACTTTCTTCTCTTGCTTTGTGTGCTACAAGGAGGGAGTGTGGTGACTTGAACTGAGGCACATATGTGCAAAGTTCTATGTCGAAAACAGACAGATATTAATAACTGGAATTTGAATATCAGTGAGTGATAAAGTTGATTTTTGTTTTCTTTTAAAACCACACATTCTTAATATATTCTGCTGATATCTCAACGTATACTCAGCCCGCCAACCAGCTTAATCTGATTTTGCGTGGGCGGATACGATTAGCTGAGATATCAACGGACTGTCTAAGAAACGGTAACAGAGATGGCAGAATAACCCTCAGCAGGAAAACAACCAATCAGCAGACGTTACCTCTCTGCTAACAATAACGCATTATAATGTACATAAAAAAATATATATTGATTTTCTCTCTATAAACGATCTGTTGCCTGGTCCTTGTCTTCTGTCGTTACAATCAATACAACAAGTGCAACAAGTGAATGAATAATCTCGACAACAACAAAAATCCTGAAGTTGTAGTAATACTGACAAACAAAAAAGGTACAATAGTAACTAAAACTTATTATTGTGTTTTTATTAACCCCATTTTCATTGAAATAAAGTTATCAGCATTAAAATGATTTTGAGTAATATCTGCCACAAAACCAAAAAACCCCTGACAGACAAGTGAGCTTTTTTCACTTGTGAGAGAGAATAACTGGGTCGAAAACTCCTTTTTTTTCATTACTTCCCTCGGTATTCAACACATATTAATAATTAAGCTAGCGAAAATTCAATCTAACTTCATTGTATTCAAAGCATGATATAATCCACGCCAACCTCCACCGAGTGTTCTAATCCAATGACTGATTTTCCTGTCCAAATCTTTGATAGCATATTCCACTAACAATTTAATAATATACACCATACCAATATCCAAACAACCGATACAATAGCTAGCGACAAATGTTACATAACTTAAAAATCTTCCCCAATTGATTAGCTTATCTGACCATATATTATCCAATGTCTCCATATAATCCAGTTGAGCTTTCTCCGGTGTCTTCAGCAATAATCCATGACGATTTTCAAATCTTGGCTTAAATTTATTTTCAAATTGTTTACCCTTGGCTACAATGCATCGTATTAATTGATCCAATAGCTGATCACTTTGTGAAGTTTTGCCACGTTGTTTTGTAAACAGATTTATATCTTGATAACCTTTTAAACACATATGATAATAAACTAAATCGATAATCAGTGCTGAAATTATCTCTTTAGTTGGCAATGCATCGAGTACACTAATTGTATTGTAGATATTAGAGTCAATCTCTTTTTCACCTTCAATAAATATTGTTTGAGTATTGGGCATTATTAACTTAGCTTATTGGATGTGGATTATACTATAGAAAACGATGACTGAATCCCACTTGTTTTTGTTACTGATATCTTCTGATAGCTAGCTAACTAACTAACGTTTGATTCCTTTAAATTGCATCAGCTGATTAGGAGAAAAAAATCAATAATATAAAACGTTCAAATAGTATATAGCTGACTCTGACTTACACTTGTGCTCTCTCTGAGCTAGATGATTTAATTGTGGAGCTTTCGTCGTCCTCCTTCTAGATAATATCTTCAGCGCAGATTTTAGTATGAAATGAACTTAATTTGGGCCAAGTTAAACTTCAAGCACCACTAACTTACTTCCAATCTGCGAATGACCTTGAGTGATCATCCAATGAGTTTCATCCACATGAGTTGAAGGTTCTACTCCTGTTGATTCGAGTCAAACGCCTGCTCCAACGCAGGCATGCGCATGCAGTTTGGTGAGGATAAGGTTTTCCAGTTTTGCCTGGATGTGAGGTTGCTTAGGAAGGAAAGGATTTGTTCATGTGGAGGTGTCATGAGCATAAAAAGCTTCATCAGGTCGACCGATGGAGATGTCCATCGTTGTGCAATTTGTTTGAGACGAGTTAGTATCAGGGAAGGTAAGCTGATGATTCTAATATTTCGTAGGAACATTTTTTGCCGAGTCTCATCTGTCCTTAACTCAGATTTTGTATATTTGCAACTACTGGGTTTTAAAACAGCCTGTGAGAGGTGCAGCTGCTGAAACTGAAAATAGTCTCGTATCAACAGTTCGGTGGTACCAGCACTGCAAAAACATAACGTCATGGAAAATGGAGAGAATTAATTCGTTGTTAGGAGGAGGTGCCATCGTACACGTGGATGAAACTGTCTTATTAAAGAAAAAATACAACCGGTGTTCGTGAACGAGCAAACAATGTTTGGGTGATTGGCTTATATGACACCTTTCTACAGAAAGGATTCGTCGAGAGGATAACAGACAGAAAGTCAACTACCTTAATACCTATTATCACTCGACTTGTGAAACAGGGATCTATAATACACACCGATGAGTGGAAAGGTTATAACTCCCTATCATCCCTTGGATATATTCACCACAAAGTGAACCATTCTAATGTTTAAGTGGATCCCATTACAGGGAAACACTTCCCAAAAACCTATAGGTCTAATGTGTTTCCCTGTAAAAAACATAATTAGGTCTATTAATGGATCTTAGTAGGATGTCATTTAGATGAATATATGTACAGAATGTGGTGTAACTTTTCAATTGATACTCCAATGCTATACTGGGAGATGTCTTTATCACATGTCAAAGAAAGGTATGCTATGCAACAGTTTTATGCAGTATTTATACACTGTTTTCATAAATATGTTTCCCATAACCAGAAATGCCTCCTTCATGTAATTGGTGCGTTCAGGGTCTTTCGGTGATTGGTGGTGCTTATAGTCTAACTTTACCCTTATTTGAATTCTCCATGAATGGTGATATAATTGTATCTCTCCTTGTAACAACAGAAGACAAGGGGCAAGCAATGGATCGTTTATTTAGGAAATCAACAGATATTTATAGATTTTCATGTACATTGTTATAGATTATTGTTAGCAGAAAAACACAGTCTTCTGATTGGTTGTTTCTCACTAAAAGTTAATCTTTCATCTCTTTGTAGCTGTTTCTTGAAGGTCGGATCCTTTATCTGCTAATTTTATCCACCTACGCAAGGTCTGCTGTGATTGGTTGTTGAGTCAGTGTTCTTATTTTTCTCATGATCAATATTGGGGACGTAAATTACTGTCGACTAATTTTGGCTGGCAACCAGCTCTCACCACATCCTGATAACTATCCTCTGCTGATCGTTTTTATTGACTTGGAATTTGAAGTTTCTTGTTATGTGATTTGCTTCACACCACACAAAATCTCATATTTTGTGTTGAGGGTCTATGGTGGTAGTGTGTTTTTTAATCGCTGATTCGCTTGAGTACCAGGCCTCTAGAAACACCCCGGGATTATTGGTGTTTTCTCCATTTAAAATGTCCACAATACTCCAATCAAATTGGTGTCTACAATTATCTACGTGCATTGATATGAAAGAATATATATCATGTCTTTTTACAGACAATCTGTCTTCTTGGATTCGGATTCGATGAGGGCACCCACTTTGATTGATGTAATGTTTATTGCAGTTCATATTTATTTGTAAACGGTATTAATTTTATCTTCTTTTTCTGCTTGATCTTTTGGTTTGCACAATATCGAATGAAGTGATTGGGATGGCTTGTGTGGTATGTTTATTTCAAATGGTCTTAGTATTCTAGCCATCATTTCAGGGATAATTCCTATATATGGTAGGATGAATTTGCTTGTGGTCTTTGATGGTGGTTTGTTGTTGGTGATATGACTCGAGTTTAAATTGTGAGGATATCCATTCTTTCTGAAGATGGTTAGTAGCTATTTTTCCTCCATTCTCTCCAACATAGGAGTAGTGCAACAATGTGTTTGAACTCTTTTCAACAATGTCTGCACACAGTTTCTTTTGTGGGTAATTGCGTTATTACTACGATAGTTGAGTATTTGGTCTGTGTACGTTAATTTTCTATATTCTTTCGTACCAATGCATGGAGATAATTGTGGACACCATTTTGATTGGGATAATGTGGACATTTTAAATGGAGGAAACACCAAAAATGCCAGGAAGTTTCTAGAGGCCTGGTACTCAAGCGAATCAGCGATTAAAAAACACACTACCACCATAGACCCTCACACAAACTACGAGATTTTGTGTGGTGTGAAGCAAATCACATAACAAGAAAGTTCAAATTCCAAGTCAAAAAAAACGATCAGCAGAGACATAAATTAGCAACCAATCAGGAGGATAGTTGTCAGGAGAGATACAATTATATCACCATTCATGCAGAATTCAAATATTTTCATTTCATACTAAAACCTGTGCTGAAGATGTTGTCTAGAAGGACGACGAAAGCTTCACAATTAAATTAACTAGCTCAGAGAGCACAACTAAGTCAAAATCATCCACTTGAGCTACAAGTCTTCTCCATCATATATATGTCAAATGTGTGTGTCTGTGGGAGGGTGAGGATGAAAGCTTTCTAGAGGTTTTTCTGCGAATAGCAGAAAAACAAACGCTACAACAGATATTCCAGTTGTGTAGAAAAAAGTTTGTAAAGCACCTATAAAAAATAACAGCCAAACGTAAAATACCTGATATGATGATGGCTACAGCATTCCCATTGTAACGACAGAAGACAAGGGTCAGGCAACAGATCATTTATTAAGGAAATCAACGCATATTTATATATTTTCATGTACATTACTATGGATATTTAAGTAAACAAACACAGTCTTCCGATTGGTTGTTTCTCACGTAAAGTGAATCTTTCATCTATTTGTGACTGTTTCTTGAATGTCAAATCCTCTATATGTTAACTGCATCTGCCTACGCAAAGTCTGCTGTGGTCGGTTTTGAATCAATCTTTGTTCGCATTTTCTCACGACAAATCTTGGGAACGTAAATTACTGTCTACCAATTTGGCTAGTAGACAGCTCTCACCACACTATAAACACGTATTACAAAATCCCATAAAACTAACTGACTACCTGAGAAAATTCAAATCACACACGATATTCCCTTTCTGAATTCTCTTCAAAACATTTCCCCCTGGGTGCAACGGCGAATAAAGAACGAGATTCTATAAACCCTACTTCACCCTTAAAGTTTACCTGCAGTTACACAGGGATACATATACAACGGGTAGAACTAATAGAATGTTCCAGTGTCGTCGGAAAAAAACGATGAATTCCTTTATGGTGATTTATTTACACAGAAAACCCAAACTAGATCATTTATCTCTTTTTACTGGAAGAACAAACTTTGTCTTCTTGGTGTTGAAATAGTTTTCGTGTTGCCAATCATCATATACTGCCGCCGGTTAAAGTACTGTGAGTGAATGAAAAATAGGTCATTCTACTTTACCACCATTCGGTTAGAAAAAAAATAAATCAACACTATGCTGTAATTATATGTATCCTAATAGTTAGGATGACTTATGTTTGATGTCACAAAAAATCGAAGACTTACAAGCGAAAACCGACAAACTGGTTGAAAAAGCAACCAGAGAAGACAGGACTCCAGGTGAACATAGACAAGACGGAGGTTATGAAAATAACCAACCAACCAACAACAGTAACAGCAGCAACATCCAGCGCCAATCACCATCAACGGGAGGGATTTGAAAGAGATTACTTCATTCACTTATCTAGGGAGTATTGTCTCAACTACACGAGGAACGGACGAGGATGTCAAATCGACAATCGGGAAGGCGAGAAACACATTCATCAACCTGAAACCAATCTGGAAATACTCGTCACTCAACATCAACAATAAAATTCGGATTTTCAATACAAACTTCAAGTCAGTCAGTTCTTCTATACGGATCAGAAACTTGGAGGGTCACAAAGAATATTTCCAACAGCCTGTTGCAGACCTTTATTAACAACTGTCTTCGCTCTATACTGAAGATCAGATGACCAGAAAGAATCACCAACAAGAAACTATGGGAACAAACAAAACAAGAACCAATCGCTCAACATATATGCAGGAGAAAGTGGAGATGGATTGGACACTCGCTGAGGAGGCCACTAGCTGGGTGACATCGCGCGTCAGGCCAACGCTCGAGTGGAACCCGAAAGGGAAGCGGCGAGTAGTGGGACGTCCAAGGGTGACATGGAGGAGATCGTGTGAACAGGAACTGAAACAGTATGGACTAACATGGATGCAAGTGAAAAGTACAGCAGAAGACAGAAACAAGTGGAGACGTGCAGTTGAAGCCCTATGTTCCACTAGGAACCCAAGGGAACAATAATAATAATAGTTAGGTGGTGATGGTGTATCGGTGGTCCCGTGGTAGGATACTCACTAACCACGCAACATGATCCGGGTTCAATTCCCCACGGGCGCACTCTTAAACCTCGCTTAGCCGGTAGTTAGCAGGGTAAAAGGTGAAGTTCGGGCGGCAGATTAGTAACCACGCCCCGTGAGAAAACACACTGTAATTCAGAGCTCAACACTGAAGCCCTTATGTTTCATTCAGAAGGCAAAGGAATGATAAGATGTATAGGGAGTTCTGATAGTATAAATTGAATTTAAATGACACTGTGATGCAATCATCACTTGCTAGATTTGATACACCTGTGTACGATTTCATATTTCATCATAAAAAATTATTATTAATACACGTAAATTTAACTTTCTTTTTTATAAAAAAAATAACTGTACATTTGAAGTGAAGGGATGATTATTTTCCTCTTCAAAAAATGATAATATTTCTATTGAACAAAAAAGAAAAATAGAATCTATGTACATTATTCCAACATAAACATCAAACTCGGGGGGTCAGACACACAAAACATCCACAAAATGCATACTAAAACATTTCAAACATATAAAAATTTGAATGTAACAAATGCATAAAAACAAGTAGAAAATAATTTTCATTATTATTTCAGTTTCCCATTGAAGATGAATTTAAAAATGATGTTCGATTAACTGATCCACCGCCAGCGTATTCAACTGTCTGTGAAGTAGCCTGACGTAATAAAGATAATTGATCCATTGAATTAGTTAATAGATTATGTATGGTGGACAATTCCATGTTAGTTAACTGGCTAACACGTGCTGTTGATGATCCACTAGACAGAAAGCCATTCAGAGATGATAGCAGCTTTCCGACACGTAAATCCCATACATCACGAACAGTATTACGTATACTTTCAGGACTAGTAGTATAATGTTGACAGAATAAAACAACAAAAAAACAAACAAGAAAGGTTAAGCAAATCTTACCATCAACACTGAAGTTGATAAAGTGGTAATGGGTAACAACATCATACTGTATGAAAAATAATATTATACGGTAAGAGTATGGAAAGACCGGTAGGACAACTATAGGTCCTATTAAAGGTAGAAATTGTTGTCTTAATAGACTATATATATATATATATATATATATACGCCTCCATAAACGACTTGGCACGGCTGAGGGTCGGTAGACTTCGGTCATCCTCTCCAAATGATCTCATGTGGCCACGTGTTCACAGCCTTCGCCATGTAAGTCCTATTGCCTGCCTTCACATAGCGCCAAAGTGTTCCTCACAAAAGTTAAACGGTGAATGCGAACGTTTGGCGCAGGTGGACATGCAGGTTTACCTACTTGAGCTAAAAAAAACCCGGATTCCAATCCAAAGCTATGATGCACATAGGCTCCAGAATCCGAAAGGATTGAATGATATATGAACCTGTATTGGCCATAGGTAACCATGTGGAACGTAGCTCCTGACGCTGCTCCCGCAATCTCCGCATGTTTGGCATGCGATTCGCCCCTGTAAAAGGTAAGATGCTGCTACAGGACTGGACTACGTCAACTCTTAGCTTAGTGATAGGGAGTGAAGTGATAGAACATGTTGACCACTTCACCTATTTGGGAAGTTGTATCAGAACCAACGGATTGATTGGTGACGAAATCTCAGCACGGATCCAAAAAGCTCGGGCTGCTTTCGCTAACTTACACCGTCTCTGGCGTAGGCGTGACATCCGGCTATCAACCAAGGGATGTGTGTACTGCTCAGCAGTTCGCTCCGTCCTTCTCTATGGCTCTGAAAAATGGCCAATACGAGTTGAAGACATGAAAAGGTTGTTTGTTTTTGATCATAGATGTCTACGATCTCTCTCTCTCTCACGTTAGGTGGCATAATAAGGTAAGTAATGTTGACGTTAGGCGTAGAGTGTTGGGCAAAGAGGGAAAATCAATCAAAGAGGCTATAAAGTTACATAGATTGAGATGGCTAGGTCACGTGCTGCGCATGTCTAACCATCGCCTCCCCCGACGGACGGGCATTACTAGCTGATATAGGTGCAGGTTGGAAAAGAGTAAGTGGTGCCATGCCAAACAAAAACATGGCCTCATCAATCCATGAAATCCTTGACAGTTAAACTGAGTCAGATAGGGAGGGAGATGCAGACTTCCGGGTTGGGGCCCGCCCTCGGGACTCTAAGAATCAATGGCTGGAGACAATAGGTGACATGGCTCCAAATCGTTGTCAATGGTTTACGCAGATGTATTCAGTCTCTGTCATCTTTCATATTCCTTTCTACCATTACTCATTCTGTTTCACTGTTATACTTGTCAGAACTCTATTGATTCTCTTCACTCATTTTCTTGTTTACCTTTGTGTGTTATTTGGAACGTGGCAACTCGAACTGGTGCACTTCGGTTCCAAGTTCTACGTTGAATTCAGACAGACAGACGCTGCTCCCATGTCTTGTGAATCAGACTTCAAGCCAACGCTTCGGGAAGGGTTGGCCTTTTAAGACAATCACCTGCTTCGGTCTGCGTGTCCCGGTGCATCTCTTAGTGATGATAATGTGCCAAGTTTGTATTTCAATAATAATTTTTCAAAAAGATATACTAAAGAGTAGCACCGATTACAATGACCAGAAGGTATTTCAATCAGCCATACCCGCAACACACACTACAGTTTTAATCCTGTTTCTGAAATTCAAACAGGATAGTTTTCATGCCCTTTTTTATCTTGATGATCACTAAAGTTATAATGACACCATTTAGTTCTCTACAGCGAATCGGGTGGACCTGTGTTCGACCCTGCTATGTGTTACATGAAAGCCTACTTCGTAAATTAATAAGCTGCATCATTAACTAATTTTAAAACTGCCGCGTTGCAATTGATCTAGGTGCTCGACTTCCAGCTACAAGGTAGCGAGCGGGTTCGAATCCTGCCCCATCTGCCGAGGTTCGGACAGTTAGACAGTATCACTAACCCTCACATACACAATAGGTATGGTTCATTGCCAACTCCATATAATAACAATTGGTTGTTGAGTAATATTTCATTGTATTTCCTTACATCCCGAAGAAAATTGCTTTTGCAGATAAGCTACTTGTTCACAACTGTCATCATGAAAAGTGACTGACTCAACAGGACAAAGCACTAAGAGCTGAGAAAAACCTGACTCATTTTTAACTACAACTAGTGAGAGACAAGAACGTATATACAATGAGAAGCAGCAAGCAGTACGTTACTTATCACACTGATAATCAGCAATTACCAGTCCGATAGCTTCATCTGCCATTTATCCTTGAATTCTTTTTTTTCAACAAAATAGCAATGTATTCAAATTAACAACTGACTGTCTTAAGCGACATTATTTTCCTCGAAATAATTTATAACTTAGGATGAAAATGGAAGTTGTTTTGGGTGCTTTGATTGAGCTTTGATATTTATTCGTGAACATTATTTCATTACCAGGCTTGATGAAATCTTCAACATTCACTTCATTAAGAAGCCTTCCTCACACCTATGCACCGTGAAGCGGTTATCTCTCTCTCCCTTTCAGAAGTGAAATCAAACATTTACATTCTAAATCACATGGTGGCGTAAAACTGTGTTAGTTTTATTATATTTGTAACAAAAAAGTTGAATATAAACACAGCTAACAGATTTATTTTATTCCTTTACGTTCCCAGTGGAACATAAGGCTTGAAGTCAGAGCTTTTGAATTTTCGGTAGCAGTCGTTTTATTTTGACGGAGTAGAGTCGCTAGCCTCATGCCCAACCTCCCCTCTTTACCCGCTTTACTACCGGTTCATCGAGGTTTAGGAGTGCGTCGGCCGAGAATCGAACCCCGGACCACGTGCGTGGTTAGCAAACGTCCCACCGCTGAACCCACCGACGCTAACAGATATCATACTTTAACTCTATAGTTCATTGACTCAGATCCATGTGCGTGACGTAATAATAATATCTGTATGGTTGAACTTGATTAGATGGCAAAGTATTCGAAACAATGACTCACTAAGTAAAAGTGCTGAATAACCAGGTCTGTGAGTCACACCTCCAAGCTCAACCACAATAAACCAGTTTCATCTAACTTGATTAACTATAAAAAATTCCACTATAGATTGAAACAATAGAACAAAGACATTAATACAACTAACTTTGGTATGTCTTCAGGTGCATGTTGTAAGAGAAGGGTACTAATTTCAATATATTGAGGATGTGGTGGAGATGTACATCCAGAATCATTCTCTTCAGACTCTTTCCATTCGTTCAACTTCTCCAAAGTTAACCAAGCTGGAGGTATAATACGACATTTTTGTTGTCCTCGTAAATGAAGAGCAACCCAAAGTGGGACAGTAGTTGGTACATTTGGGAAGAAAGGACCAATCTGTCAATTTAGTGTATAAACATTTTGTACTGAATTAGTAATCATTGTTGCCTCCATATTTCAATCACATTATTGTTTTAAGGTTGTAAGAATAATAAATGTAATTTGGGAACAAACACTACTGCATAAATATAATCCCAAACGATATAAAAAAACACTTTCTATGTATATGAAGGAAAAAACAATGCACGCAAAAGAGATAAAGAAAGCCAGATAAAAACACTAAATCTTTAAGGTGTATGATACAACACACACACACAATAGTATCTCCATGTACACACAGACTAGTTCTTCGATGATGGGCTACTGGTGTTGTGAAACATTATCCTTTATTATTTCCGTGTTCATTAATGTTATGACGGAGTGTTACTGATTTGTGCGTTCGTCTAGCCTGACTAAAATGCGCCTCCAAACACGACACTAACCAACTGATCACTTGAAAATATCCCCTACACTGAGATAGACACACAAAAGTCAGTCAACCGCGACAACCGTAACTACTCTTATGAGACAAAATACATGGTGTATATCATATCTACAAAAACCTCAAAGAATTAAAGCCACCAACAAATTAAACAAATCTAACTGGTTGTATGACATTACAAATCCTCGGGAATTTAAACTGTAAACGAATCAAAATTGTCCAATCACGTTATCATGTCAGTCCATGCATAAATCATAACTTTATGGCTAACAAAGAAGCTTGTTCGTCCTAACAACTAATTATGCAGAAATTTCACCAAAGACTTATGTTAATGACATGCCTTACTTCAATACTATCAGACAGTGTCAGAATGTTCAGTGATAGGTTTTTTTTCAGCAAGATCACTTTTCGTTCTTTTGATGTATTTTTCAGTGAGGATAATATCAAATATGTGCAATCAAATACAACTAGAAGACATTCATTTATTGTCGAATTTTCTAAATGTATATTCCGTAGTATACAGAAATAGCAGAATAAATGTGATAAAAGAAATCACTTGATGGTTACAGGATTTCATCATGAGCTGACATCGGTTAGAGAACCATTGGAAAACCTGGGAGTGCTGAACAACTGTTTCGTCCTAGTTTGGGACTCTTCATTAGTACGCACCCACCGGGGTTCGAACCCAGGACCTTCTGGTTACAAGGCAAGCTCGTAGACCAGTAGGGTGCAGCAGGTCGGGTGTGAGGACAAATACTCGCCGAAGACATTGGCTAGCGGTCGCGCTATGTCGTGAATTAGCAGAAGTTGGAATTCATGGGCCATGGGATCGGTCCCGTGGCCATGGTCTACGAGCTCGCCTTGCAACCAGAAGGTCCTGGGTTCGAACCCCGGTGGGTGCGTACTAATGAAGAGTCCCAAACTAGGACGAAACAGCTGTCCAGTACTCCCAGGTTTTCAAATGTTTCTGTAACCAATTTCAGCTCATGATGAAATCCTGTAACCAATCAATCAAATCCCGTTAAATCAATTCTTGAATAAACTTGATGGTTAGTTGAAGAATTTCTATTAGATTTCAACCCCAGACTTTACGCTCTTAATAAAACACTCATCAGTCATTCAGTTACCCTCAAAGAAAAACATCCTACAGACAATTATTTTACGGAGAATAGAGAAAAAATTGTTTTAAGATAGTGAATCAGATGAGTAAACTATAATCAATTGTACATTGGATCAAAATAATCTCATTGCTTTGGACACATTTAGAATAATTATATCATATTGGTTTATATTTAAAGCCTTTAAATTGGAGTGAAGTGACTGAAAGCACTTAGTTAGATTCACGTAATCAAGGTAGTATAGGCATACGTCTATTTCAACCCTGTCTGCTTCAAAAACAAGCAACAAAGGTAAGGAGAAATAGGATTTCTTTAGTTTTTAGTTAATTTGTAGGTCTGAGAAATTCACTCAACCAAAATGTCTTACGGGAATGATTTTTTTCACTAGTCTACATTGCAAACTTATTCAATTGGAAGCGAACATTTTTTTCCATGTATAAAAAGACAAACTTCAATCGAGTAATAAATTCTGGCAGATTTTCTAATTTAAAAAAATAGCCCAAAAGTTGAAGAGTTGAGGATAATAGCAAATGTGTGATGCATATTTTTAGAATGAGGAAGATATGAAATGTATGAGCTCTTTATACCTCTTCAAACTACAGGTATGATGACAGGATAATGGAAAAAAATGAAACGTGGTGTATTATTGTGTTTTGGTTGAATACATCTCACAATTGTCGTTTGCAAACCTCTAGATTATTGATCGAAGGTTTGTGAATTCCAGCCGATAAACCGGAGTACAGATTGACTACATTTATATAGATAAGTTGACCAGTGGTATATCCATGCACGAAATTGTATTGCCTTACCCAATGATGACAATCTTAAATCGTTGTTATTAATAAAAACCTGTTTTCCACATTATACACTGATTCAAGAATATCTATGGGTTACGGCAACCATACTGTCCAATAGTATATACAGAGGAAGTCCACCAAAATGAAAAGATAAGAAAATAAACGGAAACCTAAGCACAAAATACATCGCAAATGTTGACAAAGGTAAAAGTATAAATACACCCGCTCCAACATAGACAACTTTAAACCATAGTAACTAGCGTTTGTAAAAATCAATCCTTTACACTGAAGAGCCTAACCAGATAAGACATACCTCTCCACGTAATTCACATGAATAACAAAACTATAAAAGTAACACCGATCATATTTGATGAGAAAACAGAAACTGTTGACAATATAACACTTAATTCTTAGCGAACCGCTGAACTTACAGTAGTGTTGAGCAACTTAACAATATCTAGTTTAAACCTAGGTACAATAGTTAAACCCTCCTCTTCTGAAAGGAATTCAAGCTCAGCGGGATTCATTGAAAGATGTGGGGGACAGCAATACCTGAAGAAAGGAATGTTCATTTAAAGACAAAACTTAAGAGTTGAATGTATTTTTGAAGAAAACAATTAAAGAACAAATTATTTCAATCCTTACCATGGGAAAAAAAAAGGCGAAAATCACGCTGAATAAAGACTACACAGAATTCAGCGGAAATCCAGTGCCTTTAGGGAAATTCTCCACTACATTTCCCCAACAATTACGAATACAATCGAGTGAGAAGCATCACAAGAGAAAACGCTCCATAAAAATGTTTATATTAGATCCTGCACCAAGATCATAGAGACTCGCACAACCAGTGATAAGACAAACATTAGGTTGTGTTTAGATGTTTTTGGAAGTCAACACCCCTATTTCAGAAGGCCTGGACTTCAAAACAACAACAATAATAACGCACATCCAAAACCTGATTCTCTGTTGTAACTTAGGCCAGCTAATTGGAATCATAGCCAATTTTAGTGACCTTTGTTTGTTCTTGTGTACAAGTCTGAGGGACTTGACATTTACATTTTTGGGGGCTAAGTCCTGAACTTTGCTTGTATTTTTGAGAATTTTCAGTGGACCACCCAACAACTTTTGAAGATACTGCAGTTTCACTCCAGCTGAAAAATATGAATACTTACGAATAATGATACTATACAGTACACACTGTCCAATTATTCTGCAGTAACCAAATGTTGGGTTATAGTACGCTGAGTGTAATCTTATTACCCCAAGTGGCTAATAAAATGCGAGGTCTACAGTACCCCTTAGGTAGAAATTTGAATAAATTCACTCTATATTTAGCATCCAGACTTTTAGTTCAGGCAAGAGAAGTAAAATGTTGAATGCACTAAACACTTAATGAAGTAGTTGCATCATAATTAATCAGCTTCGGGCATCCTAAGACGTATGAAAGAAATCCAAGTTACCATTCACCAGTCAGCACCATTCGTATGGAGTGGGAATGTTAAACTACCTACTATAGGGCAAAATCAATTTGTAGACATTCACTCTGGCTGATAGGGTCGTTTTTACACAGGATTCGATCGATGGATGATCTCAGAAATTATTACTAAGTCACATTTAAAGCTGTTGCGTAGTACAAAGTTGAGAAATTTCAAGTGACTAAAGTAGCTTTTACTCTTTAGCTCAACAACTGGAGTCTACCGTCTTCTATATTTTCACAAAGAGACTAACTTTAGCTGAACCCTGATAGATTTCTTGAAAGTGGATAAAAAAAGTTATGCTATCACGGACTCAAGCTGTTTCCACAGTAGATGCAAAATTACATTTGCATTCACGTATGATAAGAACTAGTGTGCAGTACACTGAATGAGTTAAGATCGAAATTCTTTCTGACAAATACCATGGGTATGGCTTAACGTCTCACCTTTTATTTGACTATCATTGACTTATGGTTTTGATGATACAGAACTACGCATTTTCAAAAGTTTAAACTGAAGCTGTTATAACATCCAGCATTTCAATTTCAAAGCATGCAGTCTATTTAGACTAATTACGGAAACGGGTTGTAAGAAACTAATGAAAAACGAAATAATTTCCGAGAAGGACAGTGCTTTAATTACCTTACAGGACAGAATTTTGGAACGCTGGAAGGGACTTTTTGAGGAGCAATTTAACTGGCCTGCTGTCACCCTGAACCTCCCAAGAATCCAACACCCAATTAAATGGGATGTAGAGATTGATTCTCCATCTGTAACTGAGATTACAAATATTGTCTCTAAACTGTAACGAGGCAAAAAGGCAAGGCCTGATGGAATGACTCCAGAGATGTTTAAGGAAGGTGACGACAAATTGTTGTTTTGATTAAGTAAAGTATTAGGTAGCGTCTCGGAATCAGAGATAGTCCCATGGGACTGGTGTAAGTCACTGATTACCACAGTCTATGAGAAGGGAGACAAGCCTTCCTGTGTAATCATAAGGAGATAAGATCGACTAATATAGTCGTCTCCGGCGTAGACGTAATATCTAGCTATCGTTCAAAAGGCGTGTTTACCGCGCAGCCGTTCGCTCTGTCCTTTATGTCTATGAAACATGATCACTGGAAGCGGAATACCTAAAGAGAGCTGTTTCTGACCATACGTATGTTCTATCTCGCGTTAATTTGTATAATATTAAGTAATATTGAGGTCAGTTAAATCGAGGAGCTTTCGATGCTGGATCGATTAAGATAACCAGGACACGTTACGCATACTAAGCCATCGCCCTCCTCGTCGAGCAATATTAGATGACATCGAATTAGGTCGAGAGAGTTAGTGGTGACCAAGCCAAAACTTAGTGTCTTGTCTTTGAATGTTAGTTTGAACCATGTAGAGAGATGTGGACTGTCCATCTGAGGTCCTCGAGACTAAGAACCTACAGCTTGACACTGTTGGAGATATGGCTTAAAACTGTTCTCAACTGCACAGATGCAATCACTCATTACGAAAACGCAGATCTGTTAAATCTTTTTTCTCTGTGTAACTATTCTTTTTCCGTAAATTTCCATTCGTTATAGTTCCCCTGAATTTTTCCTACCTTTGTAAACTACAAGGCAACCTGAAGTTCTGTACATTTCTGCTAAATTCTACGATGATGACTCAGTCAGTCAGCGGTCTTTTAGAAACAACAACGTCTACAAGCTATTTGTAACGCCACCTGCGAACAGATTAAGGGGTAACACTTCTAGATGGCCAGGAATAAGTAATCTGAACACGAGTAACCCACAGATCAACCCAGACACTAGAGGTTAGAAGAATCCACACAGACTGGCATCTTTATATTTTTACACGACAAACAGATTCCAGATACAATTCGAACAAGGCCTCTTTTACGCATTAAGTACAAAAACACAATTACTGCTGATAGTAGATGTAAAAGTTAGGAAAACCAGCCGATGAGGTTGCCAAGTTTTATCATTTAAGGTGACTGGAACGTGTTATACATCACATAACAGAACTTTTAGACCATTGGTCACGACTTCTCATTAGAACTCCAGGAAACTTCGTCCTGTAGCAAGTCAATAGAGTGCATCAGATTAATTTTCAAGAGTTGCTTTGCAGGAATTAGATTTGTTTTTACGAGTTTGACTACGGATTGATATCAGTTAGAGAACCATTGAAAACCAGCCAAGGAGTACTGGAGAGCTGTTTCATCCTAGTTTGGGAATCATAGGCCGTACGCATCCGCTGGGGTTTGAACCTCACTGGGTTTCCAAACTAGGATGGAGCAGCTGTCCAGTACTCCTTGGCTGGTTTTCAATGGTTCTCTAACTGATATCAATGCGTGGTCAAACTCGTAAAAACAAATCTAATCCTTACAAACCAACTCTTGAAGACACCAAAGTCAAATGACCTTGGCCCAACCAATTATATTCTCTCTTAGGTGGAAGGTGGTATTTATTTCTTAAGTGTATCTATAGGATGTATATGTAATAAAACTGAGTTGCACAAGGTAAAAATCTCTAATATGTTGTAAAAATTGGTCCCATTTTCTTATAGGAGCAGTTACTAACATATAAAACCAATGTCGATACAAAAAATCTGTGGCTGTATATCATATCATATCGGGAACTATTTACTATTATAATACGTCTTTTTAGACGGACCTAGAATCCTTCAATTGAATCTGTATGAGTTCCAATGATAGGATCTACAAATTCAGGAGTATGATTGATTTTATGATGAGTATAGTCTAGTGATGATGGTTGCGAATATCCTTCCCACCCGTGTATGATTGGAAATGCCTAGGAGGACTGATCGTTGTATTATTGGTTGTAAAACTTTTGGGTAAAACTTGCAACGAAGATTATGAGCAACATCCATGTTTAATGCTGAATCATCTTATTTGTTGATGCAAGACAATTTGCCTTTACTATTCTTTGATGTTGCCCAGATTGTATTACAACACCATTAAAATATAAATGTATTTCTTTAGATTTAGGACTTACTATTCACTTTACTCCAACACAAACAACATATACATGATAAGCAACGCGAAATGAAGAAAATGTAACGCAGCTAATTGATTTGGCCACAACTTTTTAAATACCATTTATTGCTAGAGCATTGAAATATGGATGAATTTACTATTTTAACAAAGACACTGAGGGAATTATTTTGATCCCCCAAGCCGCTCTGTTATGATATCCTGCAAAGTAATCAAGCTCCCCAACGCTGCCTAGTTTCAAATTCAACTCCAAGGAACAAATGGCTATGGTACTTCAACTGTGGTACGAGACCAAGAGTAAATCGGGAGACACATCCGATGCTGCAAAAGCAGACCTCGAAGCATACAGATGCAGCAAACTGAAATCGCAATACGTCCGCAAGCCTCAGTGACACTACAGCGATATGGTACTGACAATCCAATATCCAATATCGTTTTTACGACCTAGTATAAACCAATTTGATTTCTTTGTGCTCGCCTCTTCATTGTGAGGTAGAGGTTCCTGATCTTCGGTAAACGTCTGCGTAGCTCGTCCTGCCACTCGACTGCCATAGCTTTGGTTGACTCCAAAAGGAGTAGTGCTGGGATTAATTATATGTGGTTTGTGGTATGAGGTGTGTTAAGACTGTTACTACTGTGAGTGGAGTTGATCCTTTCACCAGTTGGTCCTTCGGTATCGTCGTCAATAGAAAAGAGATAATAATAATAGATATAATTAGTGAAGGTATTCAGACTAACAGACAGAAAAAGAATAAGAAATCGTAACAACAGTCAGTCAACCGGTAATAATAATTTCGCTTTATTCCAAAAACAGTATTAATGATACAGCAAGGAATTTTCAGCATTCAGTACAACATTGCATCTAATTTACTCAAAAACGACAACAACAAAAAATAGATAAACGAAATAATTAATACATAATAATGATAACAAGACGTTTTTTATAGAAGCTATGTAGCAATTACAGTGTAGCGGTAAATAATTCCCCAAAATTATTAACCACAGCAATCATCACTCAACATTGGATGCTGACCATCACTGTTTAAGTCGACTTGTTTAGCTGAAGGCTTACGGTCAAGCATCCCCGCCATTTGGTGCTTCGTCGTGTCACGTGCGTGCACGATTACTAGCTAGCTAAGCATTCATTCCTACCCGCGATTTGGTCCCAAAATATATATCGTATTTGGACGACAAAATCTGGTCTTTTGCTTTACCATTTGGTACTCGAAGAACGAACACTATAGTGGTTGTTGGTATAAGATCTTGCGTTAGTATAATCCGTACAACTCGCGAACGTCGATACCTTCAGCCCCCTAAACTGGTGAGCCCAACCTCGAACTTCATCTTCAATTCACACGCAGATAAACCCGGTGAGTTCGTTCCTTTTTGTGTTTATTCTTGTACTATATTGTTATCGGCATACTTTTCGTCATGACTGACCCTAGCCCCAAGGTTATTCGCATACGATCAACCGCCAAAACAATTCAGCTAGTACCATATTGGCCAGATAATGCTGAAACGTGGTTTCAGATTGCTGAGTCCGATTTTTGTGAACATGGCATAACTGATCAACGTTCACAGTTCCTTGCAGTTATTCACGCCCTACCGCGGGAATTCAGCAAGTGCGTAACTCTGCAGATGTCGGTAAGTAACTCGTACGAGTTGCTAAAAGCATCCATCCTCAAGAGAAACGTTCTCACAGATCGGCAACGTCTGGATGAGTTATTTCGTAACATCGAGTTAGGAGATCAGTCAGCCGTGAGCATGCTGGCAAGAATGAAAGAGATCATTGGCCAAAGTCAGTTCGATGAAGGACTGTTTAGAGAACTATTTTTATCCAAACTGCCACAGTCAGTTCAGACTGTACTTGTGACACTTCAGGGTGTTCTCATAGATGATTTAGCTGTCTCTGCAGATAGAATTCTAGAGATAACGAAACGGCCAGTCACCGAAGTATACTCTGTTACCGAACAGACTTCGAAGAAGGATTCTGCAATGATAGAGTTAATCAACTCCGTCCAGCAGATGCTTAGGTCAAACAAGCCTAGCAATTCCTCAAACCGTCGTTCTAGATCCCCTCAACGGCAAAACGCACGTGGACGATCTAAGTCCAACACACGTTCTGTCAAAAATCCTGACTGGTGTTGGTATCACAACACCTATGGCAAGGAAGCGAAATGTTGTCGAAAACCTTGTGATTTCGGCAAAGCCTCCAAGTCTGTGGGAAACTATCCCGCCGGCACGCGTTAGCGGCAACCGTCGCCGGTGGCACTAGCCGCTTACTTTACATCCATGATGTAATGAGCCAGACTAGATATCTAGTCGACACAGGCGCCGAAGTCAGCGTCCTTCCTGCTACAGCAGCAGATCGACAGAAGGATCCTAACTTCAACCTACAGGCTGCAAATGGAAAACCAATTGCTACCTATGGTCGGAAATACGTCTATCTGAACGTAGGTTTACGCAAACCTATTCAGTGGATTTTCCTAATCGCTGACGTCACAATGCCCATCATTGGCACGGACCTACTAAATCATCATGATTTGCTCGTAGACGTCCGCCGTAAACGACTAATTGACAACACTACTAGTTTGTCTATCAAAGGCATAACTTACGTAGGCCCCAGCTTGTCAATCGTTAAGATGAAAGCAATCCTCGATCCAACTTTTCAACCGATTGTTGACAAATATCCGGAACTGAATTGCCCATCTAACGACCTCCCGTGTATAACCAGCAATGTTATGCACCACATCATAACCTCAGGACAGCCCGTGACATCTAAAGCACGACGACTGGCCCCTGACAAACTGAGAATTGCCAGAAACGAATTCGATCATATGCTCACCCTTGGCATCATTCGGCCATCGAATAGTCCATGGGCATCCCCGTTGCATATGGTACCGAAAAAGGATAGCAACGATTGGCGACCCACTGGTGATTACCGGCGAGTGAACTCCAAAACAACTCCTGATTGCTACCCTTTGCCTCACATACCCGACTTGACGGCAACGTTATCTGGAGCATCTATATTCTCCAAAATCGACTTGGTTAAAGCATATAACCAAATCCCGATGGCAACGGAAGATATTCCGAAAACGGCTATCATCACGCCTTTCGGACTTTTCGAATTCCTACGTATGCCATTCGGCCTCCGGAATGCGGCCCAAACATTCCAACGCTTCATCAACGAAGTATTTCGCGGTCTCGACTTTGTATACTCATACTTAGACGACTGCCTCATTGCCAGTTCAGATAAGGAAACTCACCTTAGACACTTGGACTTGGCATTTGAAAGGTTACGCCAACATGGTGTTACCATCAATATACAGAAGTGTCAAATAGGCGTTGACTCACTCGATTTTCTGGGTCACACTATTGACTGTCAGGGCATTCGCCCACTGGCTACTAAAGTCGAAGCAATACTGAACTTTCCGGAGCCAAAGACAGTAAAATGCCTTCGCACTTTTAACGGCTTGGTAAGTTATTACCGACGTTTTATTCCTAATTGTGCTTCTCTAATTCAGCCATTAACCGATCTCCTTCGAGGGAACAACAAGGCTATCGAACTCGACACGTCTGCTCGACATGCTTTTATTCAAGTAAAGAAAGCTATTGCGGATGCCACCCTTCTAATGTATCAGGATCCAACAGCACCTTTGAGTATCTCGGTTGATGCATCAGACACTGCAATCGGCGCAGTTCTGCAACAACTAGTTAACAACGAGTGGCAACCACTCGCCTTTTTCTCGAGGCGCCTTCAAGTAGCTGAAACGAAGTACAGCACATTCGGAAGGGAACTTCTAGCTATGTACTGTGCTATACGTCATTTTCGACATTCAGTTGAGGGTCGTGAATTCATCATTTTCACTGACCACAAACCTCTGACGTACTCTCTGAACTCAACTTCAGATAAGTATTCACCCAGGGAATCGCGACAACTAGATTACGTTTCACAGTTTTCATCAGATATTCGCCATGTTTCCGGAGTGAACAACACTGTGGCAGATGCCTTGTCACGTATTTGTTCTTTCACCGAAATGGATGGCATAGACCTTGTAAAACTGGCTCGTCTTCAAAAAGAAGATTCCGAGCTTCAGCGTGAGTTGTCGAAAACAACTCTACAACTAGCCAAGAAACCCTTAGGTATAGGAAAGGATACTATTCTGTGTGACATTTCCACTAGTACTCCTCGCCCCATCGTGCCTAAAAGTTATCGCCGTAACGTCTTCAATACGTTGCATGGCTTATCCCATCCAGGTATTCGAAATACTGTCAAGCTCGTAACTAGTCGGTTTTGTTGGCCTGGTATTAACAAAGAAGTAAGGGAATGGGCACAGACGTGTTTAGCTTGCCAAAAGTGCAAGGTAATACGACACACTAAAAGCCCCCTTGGCACTTTTCTTATCCCTGATGCCCGTTTCGAACACGTCCATATAGATTTAGTTGGCCCCCTTCCAGAATCTCATGGATACACCTATATGTTAACCTGCATCGATCGCTTCACACGATGGCCTGAAGCAGTACCCATCAAGGATATATCTGCTGAAACTGTCGCACGCGTCTTTGTAGAGAGATGGATCGCAAACTTTGGATGCCCATCTTCCATAACAACTGATCGTGGGCGGCAATTCGAAAGCGGTTTATTCTTCGCTTTGACTAAAATCCTTGGTTGCATGCGTTTTCGAACGACAGCCTACCATCCTCAAGCTAATGGTATGGTAGAACGTCTACACAGACAGTTGAAAGCTGGTTTATCAGCTGCAAATAACACCCACTGGACTGAATCCCTTCCGTTAGTTCTCCTAGGGATACGAAACGCCTTAAAAACCGATGCTGGTTGTACTACCTCTGAGCTAGTATATGGCACAACACTACGACTGCCAGGTGAGTTTGTTTCTCCCTCGAGCTTCCCACCAGTAGTAGATCACTCCTCATACGTCAGCAGGCTTACAAACGCTATGCGTTCAGTTAAACCTGCTCCCCTCCGACCACAGTCCATTGATGTTTTTGTTCACCCTTGTTTAAAAACTTCTTCACACGTATTTGTTCGTCGCGACTCGGTACGTCGTCCTCTAGAACCCCCATATGACGGACCA